AGGCTCTTTTTGAAAGGGTCAATCAAGTCTTTAAAATTTCTGATTTAGTGGGCAATTTTGAGGTGTTGAGTAATGCATCTTCTAAAAGTTAAGCTTTCTTAATCAGCAGAGATTTTGCAGTCCACAGCCCCTCCCCTCATCACCATCTCTAAACCTGTCACCAACCACTCTTTCTTTTGGACTTCTGTCCTTCACCACTATATTTTTCAAAAATCTTGTACAAATGAAACTATAATGACCTAGCTCTAAATGCATTTGATTCCAACATGACTTTAAAAGAAAAGAATTTCTCTGGATGCATCAGCATTGAAGTTGCTTCCATCTTCTATTACCACACTACCAGCATTATTTTACTTCCTATAATTGTATCAGTACAACCTTTATATTGTCTGGACAGATCATGTTTAATTTGCTGATCATAAAAGGATTCGTGTCAACTGATTTTTACATTTTCCCCTTTATGTGTGTGTATGCTTTCTATGGAACAATAATGACCAGAGGAAAATAAGACTAGAATGTTCAAAATAAATGTACTTAGTGTACATTTTCTACATATTTCTTTTTGCTTATATATCAATAGCATTTATAATGCTAAAATAATATTTACAGTTACTTTCCATATAAGAAAAATTTCTACTGCCCAAGACAAACTGTAGGGCACCCAAAATCTAGATGGTAACTAAAATTTCTGTCACATATCCAGTTTCTCCTCATATAATGACAATCTTTTTTATATTTGGAAATTATCTGTATCTTAAAATTGTATTCAGAAAGAATGATGCACCTAAGAATGGAGTTATAAAAGCTGTCCAAGGATGTCTTAAATTTAGTTTGTACTCTGCAAACAGCAAAATTCAAGTGAACATAAGAAAACCACTCTCAATACTTTGAATCTCTGACTATGAGCTCTATTTTTTCCATTGTCCTCACTCTTTTCATGGTGATCAGATGAAGTGCCTCTTGTGGTATAGCCATCTCTGCAGGCTTCTGAGCAATTTCCAGGCAACTAGGAGGGACCTGCCACTGTTTACAAACTTCATCTTGGTAATTTGATTTCTATGCAGGCTTGTCCACAAGGATAAGCTACTCCAAAGAAGAGAGATCTAAATTGAGGCTCTCAGTCCAACAGCCAGGTCTATGGACCTCTAGGCATTGAACTGCAAGATTGATGTGTCTGTCTCTGATTGAGCACCAAGGCCTGTCCTGAGAGCAATGTGCCTTGTGCAGTTTTCTTGTCAATGACAGATACACTTAGTGGGGGTATCTTTTGACCCCCCTTTGCCTCCCAAAAAAGGTCAAAAAAGAAAAAGGAAACTTCAAAAGACAGGAGTGTGGTCACCTTTGCAGGCTGAAAGAACATAGACCTGGATCAGCCTCATTATCCATCATATCTTGACCTGCACTAATCAGAAAACACTTCATTCAGTGATCTAATGCTGCCTGCCCATTCCTCCTCTGGACTAGACATCAAAGACTTCATATTCTTTAATGTCTCAAGTCTTATAAATGTGCTGTAAAAAAAATCACACTTTCCTTCTACATTGGAAAAATGTCTTTGTTCCTAAGATAGAGGATCCTTCAGCCTTTCTGACTTAGAAGGAGAAGGTAAAATGCATTAGTCCAATTTAAGTATGAATGACTGTTATCACTGATGACCTGTTTCAGCAGGGCATATCATGGGGATTAATGACAGACTCAGGGAAGTTGATGACCCACAGCAAAACTAAAGGGCCATTAACCCCCATCAGTCATTTAATTCCCTGGGAAAACCCATTCAGAGGTAATTATTGCTGTTATAACTTGATAAAAAACCAAAGATGCATGAATTACATTAATGAGCTCTGACCATTTTATTTTATAATGTTAGCCCAAGAAAAAAGTAAGTGGATTTAAAAATGCATTTCCTTTTTTTAATTTCTAAGAAAATGCTCTTTTGGAAAAATTAGTGGTCATGAGACAAGCCCACAAGTTTGGCAATTCTCTTCCTTCTTCTTTATTCAGTTTGTAATCCCAGACATGTGGGACTACAGAGGCATTGACTTCAGGTTGTATTGTCTTAGAACATCATCTCTGTACCATTTACTTTCTGTGGGTTATTTGTGCTAGGAGTAGGGATAAGGAATGTTAAGTTAAACAGACCTTCTGCTTTCCATTCTATACCCACGTCTCTTCCCCCTACCAGTATGAGTTCAGGTCTCTTGTTGTCTCACTCCTGTCCTCTAACTTTTCTTCAACAATATTAAGTGAGCATGTACTATGTGCCTTGTTCTGTTGCCTGTGGGGCAGGAGAGATGATAAAAATCCATAATTGATATAAAGAAAAAGGAAGTTAGGCTCTAGGATTTCTGGGATGGAGGGTTTTATTATTTCCCTAGGACTGCCATAACAAATTGCCACGCACTTGGTGAATTTGATGAAAGAAATGAGCAGCACAGGAAGAAGAGCAAGCATTAGGGAAAATTACATAATATGGACTTTGAGAAGGCCAGGCAGAAGTGACCCTCAACTAGGTGAGATTTTGGGACTTGAATATAGGAAGGTGTCATGGCCTAGAGATTTGGAGGTCTTTTATGTAGAGTACTGTTCCAATCCCTGAGACTGGCCAAGGTGGAGAAGTGAAAGTTTATGCTGCTGGAGAGAGAGCACTCACAATATCTTCATCATTTAGAGGATGAGAGGAGCAGAAGATGTCAGGAAAGGAAAGGTCAAAAGGATGCAGAGCTGCTGAGCTACGTTTTCCAGAAGGCAGGCAAGAGGATGTCAGGAAACTGTGGGGGATAACAGAATCTTGGAAAGAGACAGTGGTGATGGCCACACAATATTGTGAATGTACTTGATGCCACTGAATTGATTAAAATGGCAAGTTTTATGTTATATACATACATAGAGAAAGAGATGAAATTTGAAAAATTAATAATGTAATATACTTCCTCGAAAGTGGAACTAATCAATGATGTCACTTACTGTGGATGAATCTAAGTGAATGAGAATTAATAAGAGCTGTGAATGCGTGGCCTCCTTAGAGCCAAAGTGCTCACATCCAAGTTTACACTTAGGAACAAAATAAAGGTAGCTATGAGATATGTCTTTAGGAGTATAGTCACAATGTTTATACGCAATGATATGTTAATTACTATAAAGATATAGTAGCAGTTTCTTCAAGACTTTGGCTCCTTCTCTGAATTGATATAACAGCTGCACTGTAGTGGAAAACTAAATTCTGCCTTGGTGGATGAATCATGGCTGTCTCTAGTAGGCACTTCTTGGTATGCTAAGATACTAGTTTTACTCAATTTTTTTTATATGTTAGTTGGCATTGCCCATAGGAACAAGCATTTGCATTATATAAATATAATTTTTATTACTATAGTCCTATTAGATATATTGAAATATGCATTTCTGAAAATATTTCTTGTTTTAAAACAATTATCCAAGGGCAATAGAAACCTCAAAATGAATAGTGAGTGCCCTCCTGTGAATTACAAGTATATGACAAGAGCTAGTGTGTGTGTGTGTGTGTGTGCATGTGTGTATAAGCACAGGGTGAGGGGTAATTGGAGGAATAATAGGTGATCACTTTTCTAGGTCTCAGTTTTTTCTCTGAGAGTACTTTTGACAGTAAACATGTGTTCTAATATTGTGAATAGAAAAGCAACAGACATGTAAAAGTTTGAGATAACACCTTATAAGCTTTCAAGTGGCAAATTGTTAGTTTACTTTAATGAATCAAAAATTTAAAAAGTCAAATATTTGATTAATTGCACCACTAATCTGCTCCTATTAATCGATTGAAATAAATTGTTTATTAAATTAATTTCCAGTTGGTAATATGTAAATATGTAATTTAATTAAAATCTCATTATGTATTTTCTTAAGACAAAAGACATATTAATATGTATTTTGATTAGTGAAGCATAACAAATGCTAAAGAATCAGTTCATTTATGAGAATGATGATTTCTTACTAAGTTCTTTTTTTTTTTAAATATATCTTTATTGATTTCAGAGAGAGGAAAGGAGAGGGAGAGAGAGACAGAAACATCAATGATGAGAGAGTCATTGATCAAGCCCACAACCGGGCACTGCCCTGACCCGGAATCGAACCCTGATCACCTGGATCCCAGGTCAAAGCTCAACCGCTGAGCCACGCCCCGCCGGGCTGATTTCTTCCTAAGTTCTTTGCAAAGCAAGAATTGGGCCAAGCAACCAGACCCTTCCAGAATAGTGAGAAAGCACGTTTTTTATGGAATGTGAATTCCATTGCACACTGACAGTGAGTATGGCTCATACTGTCCTCAAAGAATCTGAAAATTAGATTTTCAGAGGTGTGGAGCCTTCCCAAAATTATCAGGCTCTCATTCTGTTGTTTGAATCAGCAACTCTCAGTCCAACCATACTGCAAACACTATTTGAGCCCCTTTGGGGGGGCCAAGCCCTCCCCTCTGTACCCTCTCCTCTATAGGCCCCCTGGGAAGTCAGCTCCCTTTTCCCCAAGACTGCCCTTCAGAAATTGAAAAACAGCCCCTGTGTGCCCTGAGTCTTGTCTTTTTAAAGGCAAAACATCCACAACTCTGTCACCTAGTGTCCATAGGCCAATGTTGTGAGCCCTCTCTGCTTCCCTTGAAGCTGAGCACATTCTATTTGGCCAAGTTCCCCTGATAGCACTGGGCCTCATAGAATGCTCCCTGTGGGGGGTGAGGGTGATCAATTAGACTTACTTTTCTTCTGGACCTCTGTGCAGGCCTGGGAGTCTCCTTGATGAAGGGGAGGTTTCCTACAAAACAACCATAGGTAACCATTTCCCAGGAGGGTATTAGTCCCTCACTGGGCTTTAAAATGCATTTGGTTTTGATTTTTTGATTTTCTGGGTAAATGGGAGGAACAGTGATTGGGGAGATACAGCAAGTAACTTTTGCACTTGCCTTTGTAGTGTAATTATAAGGCATTTGGAGAAATATTTCTCTTCTTTATTGTCCTCAAAGAGTTCCCTCATTCTTGCAGGTGAGAAACACTGAAAGTCTGCTGGGTGCAAGCTCCAATGATGGATGTATGTAAGGTGAGGGACAGTTTTACCCTACCTCCCTCACTCCTTCCCAGCCCAGAGTAGGGCAAAGTATATAGAACATTTCTGTTGGGTACTTCCCAATGCTTCAGTTGTTCCCTCATGACTGAGCTTGGGATTGACCTTGCAGACACGTGACTTCTCCTACCCATCCTTTGGCCATTCCTGTCCTTAGCCAGCCTACCCTCTTACCTGTTTTTCCACTTAAGTTTCTAGGTAGGAAGACAAGAAATAACTGCTTCTGGAGTCCAGAATAGATTAATTCTTGCTAACATTTATAGGGCCTCTTTCATCACTGCTCAGCAAATCCCTGAATAGAGGTTCCCCTCCCTACCCCCAGCCCTTAGCAGGTGAACTCATCTCTTCATCAAAGCCATTTGGTCATTTGACATGAGTTTCATAATCTTTCTTCCTCTCCACCTGTCACACTGCCTATCACCGCTTCCAAGTATCTCTGGATCTTCAGCTCTCTTCTCACTTTATTCCTCAGGGGAAGAATTATCCTGCCACCTTCCCAAATGACCTCTCAGTCTAAGAACACTAGGTTTTCCCCCTCCCCTTTATGTTATGGTTCAGAGTTCTAGAGGATAATATTGGTTAAAGACTGCCTGCCATAGAAGCTACACACCAAATGAATAAATCCCTTCCCAGTCTAAGAACGTGTAGTAAGAATATATTGATAAACTCTTTCTGCATAAACTCATGAAGGAAAGAAAAAAATTTCACGATTTTGCAGAAGATTGCTTTAAGGAAGTTTTTGGAGAGAGGAAAAAAGATATATATGGTTGTCAAGCATACACATACAAAACAAGGTCAAGGCCAAAGCCTGACTGATCCAACTGGAAAAGATACAGTAACATAATTTCAGATTTAGCCAGTTTAGTATGCACATTGGTAGTGCAAAGAAGAAAAACCCAAAGGGGCCAGGTCCTGTCCTCCTTGTCCCACACACTAAAAAGGCAAACAAAGAAAGAAAAGAACCACATGACTGCAGAGTGAGCTGTGGAATACCCCTTTGATGGAGAATTCCTTCTAAACTGCCACTAAAGGTTGTTGTTGTTTTCTTATTCTAGGAGTTGAGTGAGAGATGGACTCAGAGCTGTTCCTCCAAGGCCTTGTGTCCTCTCATGTTTTTGGAGGATCACAAGGCATTCTACCAAGACTCAGATCAGCTGTGGCTCAAGCCTCTGCCTACTTCCAAGGTCTCCAGGACAACATGGCAGAGCCTTGCCCCTATGGTAGTAAAGGACCAGATAAGGCACAGATGATAATGTTGTGTCTGAGTATCTATTTAAAAGCTTGTCTCTCTGAGGTGGGGAGTCAATTGAAATGCAAACATCATTTGGGTTCCACTGGCATATGAACCCAGTAATGGCAGACAAAAACTACTGTCTTTTTAACTTGAATGCTAACTTAATAATCACATAAAAACCTTCATGTTTAATGCTTAAGCAGAATTTCATTAAAATTTCTTTGACATTAAGCAAATTTTGGAGTGAATTAGAATGGGTTTGCATTTCTTAAATTGGTCTTACTTTGGAAATAATGGAAAAGTGTGAGTCTTGGCTGAATTCCAATGACTGTGAGTCAACTTGTTAAAGTTAAATTTTAATATTTACATATTACATAGTATAATATTTATACTAGGCAACAGATTGGGAGTGTAGAACTTAAAATAAGATACACTTTGACTTGGAATTACAGTATGGTAATCATTGCACCCAGAGAATTGGGGGCTATCTAATACCAAAACTGGTGCAGCTTGAGTAAAGGATTTTGAATATAAACACTGTAAAGCATGCAATTCTAGCTTGTACTCATGTGTTGGGTTTCATGGCAATAGCTGATTATTTGTTTCACTCTTTTTGAGATATTTAGAAGAAAGCTGGCTCATACGCAACACCATCTACTAGCTTGGATGGTAATGGAGTCAGTGAGGGCATTGGTGACCTGTCCTGAGCATGCCAGAGCTGGGCTGATTCAGGAGTGGTACAAAAGTGATGAGCTTACAAATGGAGAAAGTAGAGGAAATTGCCAAAAGGTGAATACAAACGTAGAAGGACCCTAGGAACTATCTAGTACAAACTCTGTGTTTTACATGTGAGGAAACTGAGGCCTGAAAGGGTTAAGTGAATTTGCTTGAGTCACCAAGGTAGTTGGTGATAGGTCTGAGATAGAAACCCAAGTTTCCAGACTACAACCCAGAGAGCTTTACCACTTCAAAATAGAAACCCACATGCACTTACCTGAGATTTGTCTGTTTGCGGATATATAAATAAGTAACTGGGTCTAACATCCATAGATTCCTTGGAAATGATGCTGTAAAGGGAATTCAAGAGATAATTGGAGGATAGAGTGCAACTGGATGGTATATGTGTTCATTTCAAAACCCTCAAAGTCAGGGTTCCAGGCATGCTGTGAAAAATAGTTGCAAATACTAGTCAGTATAGTATCAAGTTCTCAAGTCTGGGATGGAGAAGGGAAGAATTCAACCCAAAACCCTAACTCACCTAGTCATAGCTTTGTACAAACAGAGCTTGCCATTTGTCAGAAGGAGGATTTTTCGTATTGAGTAGAGGGCGGGACAGTTGACGCAGCCCTCTGTGGTCTCCTCTGAGATGCTCTAATATAAATCTGCCTCATTCTTAAGTTGTGGATGTGCATATATGCAAACATAGGCTTCATGAACATTCACTGTACCCTAATGTTTAGTCAGATCATTGGTTTAATAGCCTCTGGTTGTGCCTATAAGACAACATTGAGACAACCAGTTACAAAGAAAGCATTCTGTCACTCACTTGTCCATTTGGTCTGCAACTCCTTTATTTAATAACTCTCTCTGCCTTGTGCCAAATCATGGGCTTTCCTTGGAGAGTTTCCAAGTTACATTTCTCCTAAACTAATCTGACAGTTGGAATATTAGAGCATTTTTAGTTTTTAGTAATTCATGAGCAGTTTAAAGGAAAACTACCCAACACATTTTATCTGTTCAACATCCTGTTTAAAAACCCCTGGACCAGAGGAATTCTCCTTTCCCGTTTTCTTTCACCTTCCCTTTCTATTACAAAGCAGTGAGCTCATTTAACTGAATTGGGGTCAGTAAACCCAAAGGGTGGTACAGATAAAAGAGCACTAAATTAAGAGTGAGAAAACCAAGGCTGCAGTCCAAAGTCATGCCACTGACAAGGTGGATAACATTGGGCAACCCATTTCCTCTCTTTGTACTTGATCTTCCCTATAATGAAAAATGATGGCTTTATCTCCATACCCTCTAAAGACCCTTTGATTGAAGGTTGTTTTCATGCTCACTTTTCTCTAGTCTTTACATTCCTGGTTTGAACTAAAATAAAGTGTTTTGGAGGTGTGCAATATTTTTCAGGATAAATTTGCTCCTGTTGAAAGATGTATTGTCATCTCTATTGTTGTAATGTCATGGAACCCTCTTATTAATCAATAAAATTGATGGGTTAATATGTAGGGTTTTATAAGTGAGTGACCACAGATTTAATACTTTATAATGTGTAAACATGATGAGTCCATCTTAGATTGTTGTGTTCAAGTAGAACAAAAGAGGGCAAGTGTGGCCCCACTTATCTTGAGCAATTGAACATCTACTTATTTGAAGTAATTTAAATGTCTTGTTTCAGTCTCTTAAGCTACTTGCATATGAATAAGAAACATATTTCATATCACTTTCAAATGGCTATTTTTATTTAGTTTTACTGATTAATAATTCCTTACATCTCTGTAGAAGTGAGACATTTTCCTTAAACCTGTAAATACATTACTTATAAGGCAAGAAGGCCTTTGAAGATATGATTAAGGATCTTGAGCTCTAGAGATGATCCTGGATTGTACAGGTTGTACCTAATTGTAATCACAAGGGTCTTTTATTAGGGGGAGGAAGGAGGGTCAAAGTCAGAGGAGATGTGATGACGGAAGCAGAGGTGATTTGAAGATGCTATGCTAATGACCTTGAAGGTGGAGGAAGCAGACACAAGCCGTGTCTTATAGTAAACAGATCAATCAAAGCAAGTAAGGTGAAGAGGAGATGGGTAGTGGAAGCTGGAGGGAAGGTGCAGTCAGGTGAGGATTGTTCAAGGACTTAAGGAAGATGAGTCACAAATATCTGGGTATAATTTTTTTCTGGGTGTCACTGTGCCCAAGGTAGGGCTACTCCAGAGGGAAATGAATGTTCCATTTGTCTTGAGGTATGGATGACAGAGCAGTAGAGGATTCTGCACCCTGACCTGGCCTTGGCAGAGTCATCCCATCTGCTTTCATGGAGCACACTCGTTGGTCATCAATTATAGATCTGTGTGAAATCTACATACATGCAGCCCTGGCCAATGTGGGTCAATGGTTAGAGCATTGGCCCTAGTACCAAAGGGTTGCGGGTTCCATTACCAAGCAAGGGCATGGCTTGGTTGCAGGTTCACTCCCTGCACCCAGTCTGGGTACATTCGGAAGGCAACCAATTGATATGTCTCTCTCACATTGATGTTCCCCCCC